TAAAATTCTCTTTCGGGGGCGTTGCGTAGCGGCAAACACTAGTCGGAGCGGCAAAACATTCGCAAAACAAAAGATAATACATGCAAAATGATGAAAAATATCTAACATATTTCTTCTCCAAAATTCCTCCCATTGCTAGATCCCCCTGTGTTCTTCAACGCCTGAAATCTATCAATTTCCACAGATTTCAAGATGCCACCAAAAAATGATAACAGATTCAGAAACCATTTTCAATATTGAGAGCTCCATAAAGTTCAAAAATTTGAAGCACGATCCCATTATTTCTTTTAGTCATCTCATCAAGAAAGTTTCCAAGAAAATCTTGAGACTGCACAAGCACAGACCCATTACATTTTTCAACAAGATCTCCACGAAACCCAAGATCGTTTGATTTCTGAAGAAGAAAAAATGCCCCATTTGGATTTTCAAGAGGTCCATGAACAGAAAGTTGAAAAAAATGAGTTGCAGGGCATGGTAGATTTTTACAGTGAAGTTATTGGCAGTCATTTTATTCGGATTAAGTTAGATATTGAATCGGTGTCCAGTGAGATTCCTATGAAGCTTTTGGAGAGGATGAGGACGTCAGCGAGCTTGAAATAAGCTTTTGTGCTACAATGAGGACGTTTTTCTTGTTTGTTGAAGTAAAATGAGAGAAATTTTGGAAAAGAAAATTGTGGCGAAGTTGGTGGTGGTTGTGGGTTTGGTGGCAAGCTTGTCTCCAGAGCGTGCGCCCTATCTCCTCTTCAACCTCCGGTGACTCCTCGTGCCTCTCACACCTTCTCTCTCAAAGAATCTTAAACAATATTACTACTAAAAGATAATCTTAGTAGAAGAAAAATAGTGGTAATGGGAGTAGAAAAAGAGGGCTTTCGGGGTTGGCCAACGGCGTCGAGTAGTGTGCCTCCATAGTATAGAAAGATGACCACTAGTCCCATTTTGATAACTCGATGAATGCAGTTTCATTTGGGTTTGATGCCATCGCCATTTTTTAATTTAATATATTTGGAATTTATTTGTACTTTTTTTTAAAAAAAATTGAAGTATGATTGTAATTTGTTCTTTATTTTTCTTTCCTTTTTATTTTATTTTATTTAAATATGAGGGTATATTTGTCACTTAACAATTTTTAATTGAGAAATTGGATAAAAACTGATGAAAATGACGATTTTCACTATAAAACTTTGGGCTGGACAAAATCTCGAACCGGACCCGAACCGAGCCGAGCGATTCTTCATAAGTTAAATATCCGAACGAGTATCTAAATCGAGAACTGACGGGTTCGGTTCGGTTCTCGATTCTAGACCTAGAATCGAAGAATTGAATTTAAATAATTTTTTTAATTTTTACTAAACAAATTAGCAAATTAACTAATTTAGTGGATAATGCTCTAACTCTCAAGTTAAGTCTATGCCTAGCTAGCTCAACCCAACCAAAATCCAAAATTCAAATTTTGATTTAATTTTAGTGCCCAATTATTAATTGAGGAAATTGCAGGAACCCAAACTTTTAGAGATCCCATTTCATAAATCATAGGTCTAGTTCACTATTTCAAATCTCAGATGTTTTGTTAAATCAATCATACACAATTTCAAAACCTAATTATTTCATTTTCTCTCCCTCTCTCTATCCCCGCCGCCACCATCTCGCCCGGATATTCCAGAGGTTGCTCTTGCGGCGACGGTTCTTCATCTTCGTCGAAAGAGCAGACTACACGGAGGCGCCTTCTCTACATTTTACTATGTTTCTCTGTAAGCGCGCTCTCGTTTTTCCCTCCAGCTTGGTTTTTTCCCCAAATTTTTTGATTTTGAAATTTATATGTGGGAAAGAACATTGGACCAATAGTTGGATTGGGCATAATTCAGACTCTTAACGAAACCCTGAAGCCCATTCACGTGCTCTCTTCAATCCATGGTGGTCCATTTTTCGGCTGAGTGACTACGGAATCTGTCACGTGGAAACAACCCTCTCTAAGTTGCTATTGTCC